TATTTAAAATGCTATTATTTTGGGGAGAAGTGGCTGCATCTGTATTAAAACTGTGTGGAGAGGTCAGCTTTAGTGCAAGAAAATTTATTAAGTGTGCTTTTAATAATAGGAGGCCCAGCCAGAACGGCTGAGTTGGTTGAGTGTTGTCCTGTGCACCAAAAGGCTGCCGGTTCAATTCCCGGCCAGGGCACATGCCTGGGTTGCAGGTTCCATCCCTGGTTGGGGCGTGTATGGAAGGCAACTGATCAATGTTTCTCTCTCCCTCGCCCTTCTCCCTCCAAAATAAAAATATATATTTTTAAAAATAATAGGAGAATTATGTAATTAGGATAAGATTTGAAAAACATCAAGCCTCAGCCGTTTTGGCTCAGTGGATAGAGCATTGGCCTGAGGACTGAAGGGTCCCAGGTTCAATTCTGGTCAAGGGCACATGCCTGGGATGCGGGCTCAATCCCCAGTAGGGGGCATGCAGGAGGCAGCCCATCAATGATTCTCATCATTGATGTTTCTATCTCTCCCTCTTCCTTCTTCTCCGAAATCAATAAAAATAAATAAAAAGTATTTTAAAAAGAAAAACATCAAGGAATTTTGGATTATGGTGAGAAAAGGTCAAGATCCTTCAAGTTGCTGTCTTAAGGCTTCTCTAAACTTGCCTCCTTCATTTCCCCTCTACTCCAAGCACCTTCCATTATGGATACCCTCTCTTGGCTCTCAACTGGGATAAGTGCTAACTTGTTAGCTAATAGTAGCATTAATTATATTAATGATTAATAGCTAATTAGTCATAATGCGGTAATGCTTACAATGGAGGCTTCCTTTCTTGCAGCAGCTCTATGTCTCAAGCCCACACACATCCCCTTCCCTATTCCTGGCCACGGAACGGGCGCCGCTCTCAAACTGTTTTTCACACCATTCTGGCAATCCCTAAATGTCTCCACTTTTTACTAGTTTTTCTCATTCATCTGGCCAGGGATCACACTGCGTATTAGCTTGCCGCCTTTATGTCTGTCTTCTGTCACTCGCATCGCCCTTCCTGTAACAAGGAGGCCACGGTCAAGATTTTTTCCCCTTTTTTTTTACTTTATCTCATAAGCCAAAGGCTCTTCTACTTCTAAGTCTCATTTGGGCCCACTTTTCAACTTTGGCCCCCCGCTTTCTTCGCTTCACCTCCGCCTAACCCTCACCCGCCCCCTGTCCTGTCTGGT